AATAATATTATGTATATATATAAATAGACAGATAAGTTCGTCAATTAGGTTTAATAAATTTTTTAATAAGTTTTTTTAAAATAAATAATTATTTTTTAAATTTAAATTTAAATTTAATATTTTTATTAAATAGGTTAGATCAGGTCATATTAGAATTTAAATAAATTATATCATAAACTTCTGTTCATATATTATCATCCTTATTATTGATATTATCTTTGCTATTTTTAATCCAACTATTGTCATCTAACCTCATCATTGCTCTTATGATTACTATGTTAATTATTACTATCATTATCATTAACATTTACTACTAATCATCGTTGTTATTACTACTTATTATTATGTTGTCAATATCATTAATTGTTAATAAAAAATTGTTAGTTTAAATGGTTTGATATATGTAATTTTTAACTAAAGATTGAATTCTAACCATCTTAGATATAGAGTTGTAATTGAAAATACTACATTATTTCTATATGATGAGAGAAATTTATATATCCTTATTTAAACAAAATTGTTGGCATTATCATTCCCTCATCACTCTTACAAACATATTATCGCTTAGTAATAATAATAATCTTAATTATTATTATCCTTGATCAAAAGTGTTGAAATGAAATTAGAATTGTAGTTTTACACTCACTAAACTTTTGCCAAATAAAATATCCATTGTTTCTTAAGATGAAATAACTACAGGGAAGAAAAATTAGGAAGCGATTTGTAGTTTTGCAACTTATATATATTATTCATGTTTATTCCCTATCTGTGTTAAAAGTCAGGAAGCAGTATTGCGTAATTTATTATAAAACAACACATTTTAATGCAAGCATACGGTAGTATAATTATATTCAAGTAGTTCAAAATTAATATCACGAAAATGAATTCTACCAAATTTGAAAACACAGAGAGACCTGTTTTAAATGAAATAATGGTCACTCATTTAAAGAGTTAGAAAGAACAATAATATTTTGCGAAGTTATTGAATAGACATAAAAATTAAAAAGAGATTCACATTTAAAACCTTAGATTGTAATTTTTAAAGAAAAAGACCAAAGAGTAATATAAATTGTAGTTTTAATAATAATAATAATAAAAAAAAGAGTTGTTAATTTTGTTTGAGTAATATTAAATAAAAAAGAAAGGAAAAAATTGGAGGGCAGGGGAGCCATAATAGCCTGAATGGTGTGGTCGTACAAGCTCTCTGCAATCACTGACTCTGCCTCTGCATGCAAAGTACCGGCATGCCCTCACACACACACTTTCAATTTAATCATCCAAAATAAAATCATGAATTAGGCCAAATAAATCAACGGTTGTGAGCACACGCGACCCCGAATAGGAGACACAGGGAAATAGACGAAGCGGGCGGTGCAATGCAGCGCAATCGCAATGCATGAGCATGAGGCGATAAAATCAAACGCCTCGCCTCGATTCTAACGGCGTGCTGCTGCCAAACCGCTCACTCCTCTACCAATATATATATACACAACACTCATGGAACAATAAAACCACACTTGGCTTTGCTTTGCGGGTGTACTGTACTACCCCTACACCACACCACAACACGACACACGACACACGCTCTTAACTTGCACCTGCGCGTACTGGAAACGCAAGTTCTTCACTACCCCTTCGGTTGGGGCGTTACCCCAACCCAGCATGGCAATGGAGGGTGAGTTAGTGTTGTACTTAGAGAGAGAGAGAGGGAACAAGGGTCCGCATTGTGTGAAGGAAACTTGAATGACCTTGTGTGAAACGTTTTCTTCTTTTTTTAATTTTTTATTTATTTATTTTCTGTTTGGAACAGGACACCTCGCCCTTAAATCTCACTTCTCCTTCTTTTTCTTTCTCACTTCCTCTTCCTTCTTCCTTCTTCTCTCTTTTTCTCCCTTTCTTCAATTCCTTTTTTCTCAGCCACACTTTTCCTTCAATGAGAAGAACGAGAGACATGGACGCTGCTGCTGCTTCTGCTCCTGCTTCTGCTTCTGCTTCTGCTTCTGCCGCTGCTGCACAACCTCTTCCTCCTGACAATGGTAATCACTCTCTCTCTCTCTCTCACATATCTTCTTCAATAGAATAGTGCTATTTTTTTATTTTATTTTTCTAAATTAATTTCTGGTGGTGGATTTACCAGGAGAAATGTTTTTTATTCCTCTCACAAAATCCCTGGGAGAAAGTCAAGTCAACTATTATTATTAATTTTTATTATTGATGGTTAAGGTTCTGTCTAATCGGTTGTTGATTTGACATTTGAGATGGATCTCGTAAAATTGCTGACGCAGGACAGGGATGAATTTTGTTGATGGATCGGGTTAATTTCTAATTTTTGTTTTGGTTTTTGGCATGTATGATTGCATAGGCGTGGAATCGTGTGATGAATTGTCTCGTGAACTATGGCGTGCATGTGCGGGAACACCAGTTTATATTCCTCGCGATGGGGAGAAGGTTTACTACTTCCCTCAAGGTCACTTGGAGCAGGTCCGCTTCAATCTCCTTTGCCATTTTTTCTATCACCCTTTGCTCCTTTATTTTATCCTTCTTGTTTTGAATTGTACTAATTTTTATTTTTTTGTGGAGATCTTTAATGTGGAATGTACAGCAAGGATGAGAGCTTCCATGGTTGTCATGCATTCCATTTAATTTTAGAGGAGTGAAAGTAGTTTTTTTTTTTTATTATCTAAAGTTTATTAAAAATCATAAATTTTGGTTAGTTTAATTAACATATTTAAAAAAACCTTTTTAAATTAAAATTTATGATTTTTAATAAATTTTAATCAATAATACAAAGAGTCTTGTTAATATATATTTTTTTTAACACACACACACATATATATATATATATATATATATATATATATATATATATATAAGAGTG